TTCTCAGACATGATGCCAAAGGCCAGGTATAGGGAGATGCAGACGACTATGGTTTTGGTGGGCACGTACTGCCGGTGCCGGGCCTTCTGCTCTTCAGTGACCGCCACTTCGATTTTGTTGTCGTGAACGAAGTGGTACTTATGGAGCACATACATCACTAACATCGCACCGGGACCTGTAGGTCAGTGGGAACACGGATTTTAGTGAATATATCATAATAATGGTTTAATTGGAATTTAATTATTTTAAATAAATATTTATATAATTCTTGAGTTATTTATGTGTTAATAATTATTAATGATGTTAAGTTTGATATTTAATAAGCTTTTATATAAAAAACTAAAAAAAGTTTTTTTTGTAATTACAGTACATTTAAAAATTTTAAGTAAAATTGCAGGCGTGTAAAACAAAAATAAATAAATAACCACCATGGGAGTCGATACCAAATAATTAATAACAATAAGCAATAATTTGAAAGTTAAAAATTTTTAAATTAAATTTACAGTTTGTATGATATGGTGGTTCATAACTTAAGAAAAATTTAGAAAACTATTATTAAACACAATAATAAATTTTAAAAATAGGATTTTAAATACAAATACATACCAATCATTTGCAGCAATCCGCCAATCATTAGCGGTATCTTAAGCCTAGGCCTCCGATCATAGGCCAGACATTCGGGAGTGCAGGGGTCGGTGCCATTCAATATACTACTGTTAGCCACACTAGTAAGCGACTCCAATAATGGCTTTGATATATGGGACTCACCGAGGCAATCATGCTCAAACACACCTGGACATATTTGTTCACCTAGCACAAAGTTTTGATCGAGCAATGGGCCCAATACAGTGCCCACACCGTATATAAACTGCGAGAACTGTAGTATAGAGGGACTCTTATTTTGCCACATCTCGATCAGTATGACATTATTAGCCCCATTCCAGGCACCGATACCTATACCGTAAATAAATATGCACGCATACAGGTGCCATAACTGAGTGGCCCACGGCTGGAATATAGTGCCGAACCCTTGCAATATGATTAGTATTGAGAGTACGATCTGTCGGTTCACGTATTTGAATGATATGGTAACTATAAAATGGGGATGGCATATTTGTGATTAGTTATTTATGTAGATTATAATATTTACTAAATGATCCAGCGAATACGCCAATGGACTGAAACATGGGAAACAGTCCGATCCACTCCATTTCCGTATGCAATAACAACCGGTAGTCCACGAATGCCGGTGACATACTCGATAGGGTGAGACCCTTGGTCAAATAATTATAATAATCAGATTCTTACTCAAGAAGTATACTAATAAATTTTTCATCAAGATGTTTAATAATAAATAAACAAAGTTCTTAGGAATATACAGAATATTCTGTAAAAATGTAAACTTACAAATAACAAATGTATGTAGTTATTAATAATGGTGTAAATAACTTTATATTTAAAACTCATAGTTTTCTTTTCATTATCCATGTCGTCCTTAAAATTATAGTTTTTCACACCGGTCATTTTTGTATTTATATTCAAATTATTATTAAACTTTTTATATTCAATTTATTTACTTATTTATTTCACAAATTTTGATCAAACGATTGTCATAATAATTAAGAATCTATTATTGGAATAAAATATATAATTATATAAAACTTTATATTTTTATTATTATCAGGACTTGTAAATATTATGTATCGTATGTATAAAATATACGACTGTCCCATTCTACAGCATAACTACCTGGTGAGCAAATACGAGTTAATCGTTTTTTTATTTATAGTCTAAACAATAG